TTATTCAGCATAAAATCAGCTGGCCTGTAACATTTAAATGACCATATGTCTATTGGTACATTTTATGAACATTTTACACTTGGAAATATGAGAAATTCTCATTGTCTTATGTCTTGTTAGAAGATGTTTTAGTGAATCAAGGATATTAGGCTATGAATTTCCCTAACTATTAAAAGAGCAGAACCATTTCACCAACTGCCAATTAGGCATTGCTGCAAAATAGGGAGTAACTGTTATGCATTTTTAAAATATGAGTTTTTATCAATCTGAATAAAATGCTCTACTCCTCCCAGCTGCCCTCTTGTCTTCTATAATAGTATTAACAGTTATAAAAGGTAGGCAAAATCTAAGTTTATCTCAAAAGCAGTAAGAAAAAAAGTATTTGTATACAATCTAGTAGAAAACTCTGTCAGAAACAGAATGTAAATCTTCTTTCACATTGATCCTCTCTATATTTCTTTCAGCACTACTGAGAAGGCTAGAGCCAACACAACATTCTTCACTTCCTCCATCTTTCCTTTTGTCGCACTACGTTGTACTTGAGTCTGTTAATTATGCCAATCATCATCACGCTGTGGGTTCGGGAAGAAACAGGCAAAAATTTGGAAGGGTAAGGAAGTTCATGCTGGAGGAAAGTACTGAGATATAGACTGTTTCTCTGACTTTACCTCTTCAACTTACACCTGGCTCAATAAAGTGTTGTAGCATTAAAAAGTTCCACCTGACGTACTCTGTGACTCTGGATTCTGCTGCGTGCCTACCTGGAGAGGTAAGCCCATTCAAAACAGGGAGTAAATTTCAGCAATACAAGCTAAGGCTTCCATTGCTGAACTCTTATCCAAACATATCTACTTATTCAGGATTACATGTTCTTGATTTTTTCAACAAACAATCCATGCTCTGAAAAATCCCTTAGCACCAAGAAGATTAAACAAATAATACTAAGTTTTCATTTTTTGTATATATACAATCTTCAGCTATTCATACACTTCCACTTACAGCAATGAATTAGAGGATCTAAAAGACTAATTAAAGCCACAACATGTTCTGTGTTTGAACAAGTAAGATTTAGTGGTAAAAACTGGCAACTGCCCTATAACCTCCAGGGTAAGTGTTTCTTACTAAGACACGTATGTTTGAAAATACTACAAGACAACTTGTTCTTGTATTTTCCAAACATAAAGTAACCTATGAGCGCAACACTCCTGTAAGCAAAGTTAAAATGTAAAGAGAAAGTGAGACATGCAGACAGTAAGTCAGCACTTGGGAACCTTAAAGACAGAGGTCATGTGCAGTGACTTCATTGATACCTAATGAGGGGTTAGAAAGTCTCTGCCTCTTCATTTGCTAGCTGGAAGATAGGTCTCCTGACGGTGGCCAGAGAGCCTCTGCTTCTCCTGGAGGGTGTCTGTTCCCTGAATACCAGTGAAGCCTTTGGGATTTTGCTTCATAGTGGCACTGAGGAGCAGTTCCACAGGAGATGCAGAGACTTTCACAGAGCTGCAGCTTGCTCAGGGCTAACCTCAGTGGGAGCCGAAAATCCTAAGCAGCAGCCATCAGGCTCAAAGGTCACTCTGCTAAAAGGACTCCTGGGGATATCCCCATCTTTAATAAAGTAGGACCATGGGAAAGCTTATCCTTCTTGCTAGATCTAGGATAAAAATTCATGAAGAAATAACCACCCCTAAATGACAGCAGGGAACTGGGGTTCTGAGGAGTTGCATCTTTTGCTCTGTGGTGCATTGGGATAAACAAAACTGTGAATAGACTCCAGCTATAAAGTTCAGGGAGCCTTAAAGTGTCTCCAGATCAGAAGAGATGCAGGCAGAAAATTTAGATGGTAAAATTTGCTGATTTTTCTCACACTTCTTCCTATGAAGTCAATAGGATGGTATGTTTCATCAACTCTATTTAAAATGTGATGATAAGGAAAAATTGTCAGTCATTTTGGAATAGTAACCCCATGGGATAGGAGCCAAAGTCGGCACATAGATAGATTTTGGATGGTGAGCAACAGGGCTGGCCAGGGACTAGAACTGGGTACGACAGCATTCCTGAAAAGCAAACATTCCCATTCCTGACTCCCACTAAGTTCAGAGCTGCATGGAAGCTAGAAACCCTCGCCTCACATGGAGGCAAGGTAGTATCCTGCCACTGATCAGCAGCAGCTCAAAACTTCTAAGCAGGTCCAATTCCTGTAGAGTTTTTGTGAGAAAATAAACTCTCTTTAGGACAAGTTAAAATAAAGGCTAGCACACCACCCTGGCTGGGTTGCTGACCCTGATGCCCAGTATTATTCTTACCAGTTCAATTCCTTCCAGGGATGAAACACAGTAACTTACTCAAACCCCTGTGCTCTTTGCACAGCCAGAAGAGATTTAAATAGCATTTCAGCAAATTCAAAACTGCACGGATTGATTTTGTACCACAGCTGTAATTTCCTTCTCTCTTTTCAGATGACATATTTAACAGGACAGTGTGAAGGTTCAGAAATATTTTCTGTAAGTCAGAATAAATTACACAGTGCTAGCAGAACATCAGAAAGGCACATTTTTTGTGGGCTAAATCATTGCAGCTGGGATGCTGCAGAATGCTGAATCTACTTTTTTATCCAGAGAGAGGGGAAAAAAATCAGCCATAGAGTTCCTGTTTGCTTTCGTGGTAACTAGCCATGCTCTTGCCAACTTACTGCAAAGTATTCCAATCTCTCGTCAATACCCACATCCATCACTGGCACCAACAGACTCAGTCATCAAAAATGTTCATTTAGAAGCAGTGATCAAACAGATTAAGACCAAAAATGAATCTGGCATCCGAATCTTCAATTTCTACCCCAACTTTGAAGTGCCAAACATCCCACAGGCCCTTCAGGCTTGAATCAAAACCTGGTGATGTCAGTTAGAAGTTCAGAAGTCAGGATGCGTCTCAAAATATTTCTAAAGACGCACTCTTCCTCAGCACCCTCACATGGGACAGATACACTTCAGTCCACTAACGGGAGTTTTGCCAGATTTAATAACTTTCCTGATATTTTAACAACGGTGGCTGGTAACTCAAAAAAAGCTGATATGGCTTTAACAGCGTATTTCCGCACAGTATGGGGGGAAAGAAGAATCACCCTCTCAGTAAAAGATTGATTACCTTCTGTTTTTAAGAACCCCTGTTCTCTGAGGATAATCCTTGAGCATATATAGTGCAGCCTATATAGTGCAGGGACTTTTTGGTTGTTGTTGGGTTTTGATATTGGGTTTTCTTAAATTAGAGCATTTAAGAACGTATTTAGAGGAACATTTTTAACTTTACCTTTCATCAGAACTTCCTTACTGAAAAGCTGTTTAGAGCAAGGAAAACCTTGTGTGTCTTAACTGTCTCATAGCTTGCCATAGTGATTTTCAATAAAAAGGCGTTGCTTCACATGACTTTGACTTGAAAACTTGTGAAATTTCAGTTTTGTTTCAAAATTTGGGGATTAACATTTGTGGGGTGCACAGGGAATGCATGCAAAACAAGATGAAAAGGAGTTTTATTCAAGTGCTTGATTACACAGAACTCAGTTTTCACATACCAGTGGAATAGAAAAACCAAAACTGGAGTCCCTGCTGGAAACAACCAACTCATGGTGCCTTAGAAGGGATACGGCTATCGCATGCATGCTAAATAGTCACTCACGAGATAAATGAACCACTGGGCTTAAGTAGTGCTTGTAGCAGAACCTGAACCAACATCACTGATCTGCTGCTGTAGGTATGATCCCTCTTTTTGTCCATCTACTAAGGCCTTCCTCTCTATTGTTGTCTTTTTTTTTTTCTTTTTTTTTTCCAAATGACCACATTTTCACTCTGATTTTATCTTTTCAAGCCGGATGGTACTTGCCCGAGACTGCAGCTCTGCCACTGTCGCCCCGCATCACCCCTAGCTGTGCTCTGTCCTCCATTTACCACACAACCCCCATCCCTTAACCGCTTCCTGGTGAGCCTGAGCCATGCCCTTCCCTCAGACACGAGGAGAACCGGAGCAGAGCTCTGCCACCCCAGGGGCTTCCCGTAGCTTTAACCGCACCTGATCCCTCCAGCAGCCTCTGGGGCGACCGCCCCCAGCCTCCCCGTGTCCTCAGAGCTGCCCTGCACGCAGCCCAACAGAGGCCTGCCGCGATGCGACCGCAGGGGCAGGCTGACCTTGCAGGGAGCCCGAACAACCACAAGAGGCCCCCTTCCAGGTGCGCAAAAGGGCTGTGCAAGCAAACTCAGCGCCCCACGCACACGAGTGTGGTCTCAGGGAGAGAGAGGCCGAGGCCCTTTCACCTCCCCGCACCTCCCCTCACCTCAGCTCCCGCCGGGCGCGCCCTCCGCCTCAGGAGGA